TAGGATTATATTTGCACAAAATTGAAAAGTAAAGAGATCTTTGAACTCTGGTGCTGGAGAAGACTCCTGTGATTCCGTTGGATGGCAAGACGATCCAACCAGTCAGTCCTAGAGGAGATCAATCCTTACTGCTCTTTAGAAGGCCAGATCCTGAAGAGGAAACTCAAACACTTTGGCCACCTAATGAGAAGGAAGGACTCCTTGGAGAAGAGCCTCATGCTGGGAAAGATTGAGGGCAAAAGAGGAAGGGGACGACAGAGAAGGAGGTGGCTGTATGGAGTCTCTGAATCTGTCAGCATAAGCTTAAATAGACTCCAGAGGATGGTAGAAGACAGGAAGGCCTGGAGGAATGTTGTCCATGGGGTCACTATGGGTCGGACACGACTTCGCAATTAACTACAACAATAACCATAGAAGAACGTATCTCTTCTCCTACAGAGCCTTATTTCATAGAATGTAATTCTATGTAACTATATAAATAGGAAGAAAAGAATTGGCATTTGACTGTGTCAGCCCTTTACAGCTATACCTTGGTATTCATTGTTAATTGGTTCTGAAATGAGTACCAAAAATGATGAATACCAGACAAATTCTTCCCAGAAGGAATGATGTAGTGAGAAAGCTCTTACCTTGCACCACGAGTCTTCCTTGGGCGGTTCTCCTCACCCTTGTGCCAGGCTTATTGGCCGCACACACGTATATCCCAGAGTGCTGGACGGTGAGGTCTGAAATCATCAGATTGCCAGTTCCAAGAACCTGAATTCCTTCTACACCAATTGGACGCCCGTCTGGAATGGGAAAGAATGGAGTAAGATTATTTTTCCCTGTCTTGCTTATACATTGACCAAGCCAATTGGGATTTATTCTCCTTTAAAGTAGAATTAAATTTAAAGTAGAATAAGCGGACGCAGTGGATCAGTGGCTAAGACGCTGAGCTGGTCGATCAGAAAGCCCCACCATGTACCTCAAAAGGTTAAAAGTAAAGGTTCCCCTCGCACATGTGTGCTAGTCGTTCCTGACTTTAGCGGGCGGTGCTCATCTCAGTTTGAAAGCCGAAGAGCCAGTGCTGTCTGAAGATGTCTCCGTGGTCATGTGGCTGGCATGACTAAACGCTGAAGGCGCACAGAATGCTGTTCCCTTCCCACCAAAGGTGGTTCCTATTTTTCTACTTGCATTTTTACGTCCTTTCGAACTGCTACGTTGGCAGAAGCTGAGACAAGTAACTGGAGCTCACTCCGTTACGCGACACTAGGGATTCGAACCGCCGAACTGCTAACCTTTCTGATCGACAAGCTCGGTGTCTTAGCCACTGAGTCACTGCGTCCCTCTCCAAACATTACACAAACTTAAAATTATTGAGTTAGTTTGCAATCCAGTGTTTTCTGCAATTTCAGAAAGTGTTTATTAATTCAAGAATTAAACATCTGTCAGCTCAGTTTAATGCTGGCGCAGACCCCAACCTATCTCCCACCTCAAACTATTTCCATTTCAAAGCTATTTTGGCAGTGGGTGGGTGAATGGGTTCAGCAAAACTTGGGGAAGGCTGTTTAAGTTTTCTAGTTTCTGATGAAGGTTGGCCAAGCATGGTCCAAGAATCTCTGGCATTAAAACAGTTGGCTGGCTGTAACTCATAGTAAAAAGAAAAGTTAAAAAAGCAAAATCCACCTAAGGTTTAAAAAGTGGAATTGGTTTGCCGAAAAGGCCTGCTTTAAAATTCAGATTCAGCTCAATCGCACCTTTCAACGGGAAAACCCGGGACAAATTGTTTATACTCAACACCCAACTCTCACTTCTTTATGCCTGCGGAGGGAAAAAGGTGATTAAAAAGGTTGAAATGCTGGACGAAAGCAGAGCTGAAATGGATGCTGTTGTTTCTAAAATATTTAGGGGAATTGAGAGAGTCGTCAGCCAGTAGGAGGGGGAAATGGCAGCGTCCTGTAGTCTGCAGTTGCCAATACATTATCCAATTAATTGGCCTCTAGTGCTGTCATATGGAGGGGTGTCGGAAGAGGAGGGTAATGCTTAGTTATTTACTTCTCACTATATCCCTCCCCCCCCCCGTCTGACAGTATTCCAATAATCTGAGTCTTTTTTGTTTTTTTGCTCGCATTTCCAATTCTCTCTCTAAAAAAAAAGCTGTTAAGTCTGTGATCCTTTTATGGATGTCAAACCCCCAAGAAACTTGTAAGAGGAGCGTTTATCTGCAAGCTTTTCAAAGAAAAGGAGCACAAATAATTGCTATGTATCCTGAGAGAGGCACCTGGGTTCGTGTACATCTGTCGAAGGGAAGAAGGTGTTAGAAAGATGAATATGCAATTCGAACATGAATAGCAAAGAGTTTTCTCTTTTTTTTTTCCAGGGAAAAACTGAACTCACCATTCTTTCAAATACAAATTCTTTGTATTTGTAAGTTTGCTCCCGCCCCCCAAGTAAATTGTTAGTATAGACTTTGCTTAGCTAAAAAGTATTCAAGAATCAGATAGGGCCTTTTCTAACTAACTATTTTTTTATTTATTAAAAGGGATAAACTTTCATGAGCAGCTCAGATCTTTTAGCAAGGTTTGTTACTTGGAAAAGATCAACCTAATCCTTCTGTATTTTACCATGAAAAATTAACTTGGCTTTTCTCCTACAATGACTTAAAAAATATCAACTAAAACTTAGCAACTTAACAAGTTCCTATCTTGCTTAACCTCTTGTATAAACTGAATCCATTTTCCTCTGAAATTCATCTAGGACAGGTTGCTTCAATTTTGGGGAACCAGAGATCAGATTTAGCATTTTGAGACCATGTTATGGGCACGTTCACAAAATGGCTGCTATAGTAGGTGGGATACTTGAAAGATACTTGCATTCCAAAAGGCAAAACAAACTCTTCTTCCATTTCATATCGTAGGATATTTTTTGAGGTCTCTATGGGCCTTGAATGGGATGCGGTGGCTCAGTGGATAAGATGCTGAGCTTCTTGATCAGAAAGGTTGGCAGTTCAGCAGTGCGAATCCCTAGCGCCGCGTAACGGAGTGAGCTCCCATTACTTGTCCCAGCTTCTGCCAACCTAGCAGTTCGAAAGCATATGAAAATGCAAGTAGAAAAATAGGAACCACCTTTGGTGGGAAGGTAACAGTGTTCCATGTACCTTCGGCATTTAGTCATGCTGGCTACATGACCACGGAGAACATCTTCAGACAGCGCTGGCTCTTCAGCTTTGAAATGGAGACGAGTACTAGCACATATGTGCGAGGGTAACCTTTACCTTTACCTTATGGGCATTGAAGGCTTCACACAATGGTAGGCTCTGCTTTGTGTGTTGTATTAAATCTAGGCTAGGCTACTGTTTGCCATCCTTGGTATTGTTCAGGTAGGTGCATAGACTTCAAGTCCCAGAATTCTCATCTATAGCCATGTTGGTTGCAGAATTCTGGGATCTGAAAACACTGAAAATTCTTATACTTTGGAAGTTAATCTACACAAAGAACATGAGTTATAGCAAGGAACTTAGTGGAGTGCTCACTTATCTTCTAGGACAGTTTCTTCCATCCTAATCCAGATCTGATGCACTACAATGTTCCCACTACTCCAATTCAATATGGTCAGACACCTGGAGGGCAAAGGGTTGGAGAAGCCGTTTCTGAACCAGCTTCATCATTCATCACCTACAAGGTACACTCTATGCTGGTCATTCCCATAAGACACAGAAGAGAAAAGAGACCAACCACATTGAAAAGACATGCTGGAAGAGAAATAAACTGAAGCTGGTGAACAGCTTCATTATTTAGCCTCAAAATGTTTTCAAACAAGTTTAATACACAGAAAATAAAGCAATTCTAAAGTAAATATGGAGATCCGGTTTGGTATAGTGGTTTAAGACACTGGATTAAAATCATGAGTTCCAGTTCTTTCTTGGATATGAAAGCTGATTTGATAACTTTAGATTCCCTCTTTCCTAATTCAACCTATTTTACAAGTTGTGGTGGGATGGATATATATATATATATATATATATATATAT